CACGCACGCACGCACGCACGCACGCACGCACGCACGCACGCACGCACGCACGCACGCACGCACGCACGCACGCACGCACGCACGCACGCACGCACGCACGCACGCACGCACGCACGCACGCACGCACGCACGCACGCACGCACGCACGCACGCACGCACGCACGCACGCACGCACGCACGCACGCACGCACGCACGCACGCACGCACGCACGCACGCACGCACGCACGCACGCACAGACGCACACACATACGGACATTTTGTAAAAATGTAATTTTTGGACGTTTTAAAACATTTTAAACATATTCCCAAAGAAAACTGGAAAAAAAATTTTTCACGAAAACGAAGCTTCCTCTATAAGGAAGCAAAAACACTTAAAATAACTTAATATGATAAAATAAAATTTCTAAAGCATGTTGAAATTTATTTTAATAAGAGTTTATTAAATTAATCAGCTTGCGCAAAATATTTTAAAAACATTAACACAAATATTTCTATTAGTTTTCAGTATTATTATTATTTCAAAAAGATTTTCGTAACTTTTTAGCAATATTTCAGAAAAGCTGCAAATTTCTTAGGGCCGATTGTTCTAAGTATTAGGTAGCTTACCTGATGGTTAAAAAGTATAGTATACGTAACACATACTACCCAGATAGCACAGGTGATCCATATGAACTCAAAAAGAATTCACTTTTTTAAATTTTTTATGAATTACTTTAATCTATTCCAAATGAACTCAAATGTAGTTCTTTCCGGTAGTTCAAAAAGGACTCCATAGAAGTATACCTTTTGACTTCTTATAGGATTAAATTAAAGTATTCTGAAGGAAGTCCTTTTCTTGTTCATAATGGGTTCGAATAGAATTCCTTTTTGGTGTACTCATATATCATCGCACATCTGGCGGCTGAAAATCGAAGTAGTTCTGTTTGGGACGTCGATCGTGCGAAACGTCTTCTAACCTAGAAGGACATTTTTTGATCGAGTGAAACGCCGGTCGCCGGCGTGGCTCTCAGGTTTATCTCTGAGAGAGATATTAGAGAACATTGATAATACATACGTAAGTATAGATTATCAATTTATTATCATTTGCATTTTTAATATATACTATAATACAAAAATTCATACAGCATGTACTTGTACTTTTTAGGTTATATTGAAACATTTGCTGTTACATTATTGTATGTGCTCTGGAACTGTTCAGTTATTTCGAGACACTTCTGGCAGAGGACGAGGAATGTGGGCAGTGCTTTCGACAATTTCGCAGCTTGTGCACGATCCTTATTTTAGTGCCGATGGAGGGTATTATCGGTGACAGTGCCAAAAGTATACAAAGTATTGTCGACCGCGACACGAACGTTGCGTGGAAGAAGTACGGATACGCGGGAGGTCTTCGATGGAATGCGATCAGTGCCGCAGAGATATTCGAGCCTGTGCTCGCTTACTGGGAAAAGCGCGTTGACACCGACAAGAGCATGCTCGAGCGTTTGCTTGACACTGGCGTCTTGCTGGAACTAATGAATTTGTACACATGAACAGAGATGAATTTTATTCCACGCACGTGTCGGTCAAGTGCAAGTCGTGCCTGGGCAAACTCTGTACAGTTAAGAGGGACTTGTACAACGCCGTAGTGATGAAATGCAGATTCGTCAGTCTAGTATGTAAGTTTCCGGTTAAAACTCTGCCGGCGAAAGCGTGCGCTGTTACTAGGAAAATTATGAAGCGGAATGTCGAGTGGGTCATTCGTGAAATGAAGGAATCCGAATGTAAGCGCTGGAGACAATCGTGGAACACGTGTCGCAATTTAACTTACAACGTAGGCGTACTGTCTGAACATGTGTACGAGGAAAGCGTGTGTTTACTGTTTGTTCACCTTCTTGTGCAGTTGCATCTCTCGACTCGACGGAGTCGAACCGAGCCCTACAGATTCTGAGAGCTTCAGGTATCTTGAGAATATTATCTCTTTCGTGCTGGACAGATTGAGCGTTGTATATTAGCAATAATTTGTATAGGAAAGCTGCGATGTGCGCATTGAATGCCTTGTTAACGTATAACCAGTTAAACACAAAAGCTTTTCGTAGATGGGTGCACATTAAGAAAATTACGCCCAAAGAAGTCGCAAGCTTAGCTACGCTGGACTGCTTGACCAGTGATGAAGATGAGATAAAGAGCGAACTTGGACTTTCAATCGATATCTCTAAGTACGACGTTACCGCGTTGTGTCTGCGTAAAGTCAAAAGTTTACTGGAGGAACAGGTCGCATTTGCAAACGGCGTGGCAGCGGTTCTGGAAAAATTGAGGAAGCTACAGCCGAGTGATCAATATGCACACACGGTGCAGTTATTAGGGTATTATTCTTAGGTTTCAATTACAAGAGCTCTATTCTGGAGTACCACGAACAAGCTATACACGATTTGAAGCAGAAAAAGTCGAACTCCGTAGCTGTTCTGTGCTTGGAAGCTAATTTAAGTCTTTTTACCTTTGCAGAGAACTTGCGAGTTAG